CGGGATGTATCGAAAAACGGGTATGCTTGGTCCATTTGAGGTCGTCCTACTTCCTCTGGTTGTTGCATGTTTAGAAAGCTCATCGTCGTTTTTGCTTGAAGATGGCATAGCTTCTTCTTCTTGCTTCTTGGGCATAGCTTGCCACTCCTGCTTTTTAGGTGTGCTTTGCTCATGGATTTAATCTCTTTTGGAAGAGTTTCTGGCACCATGTCTTCATCCATATAGAACTTGGCGTCTGCGAAATGTGATTCGGCTTCGATGAATGGCTTAGTGTCGCCATAGATCACCTTCACTCGTTCTCGGTAAAATTTTAAACATTGGTGAAGGGTGGACGGTACTACTCCATTCGCATGGATCCAAGGCCTTCTTAAGAGCAAACCGTAGGAAGTTCTTTCATCAATCACGTGGAATATTACGCTTGACTTGAGTTCACCAATGGTCATCTCCACTCGGATCATGCCCCATCGCTCTTTGTCCTCCTTGGTTAAAACCTTGGATTAGTAAGCGGCTTAGGGATAGTTCATTCACCTTGATGCCGATTGCGGTCATTGTTGATTTTGGCATTATATTTATGGCTGACCCGCCGTCCACAAGCATGCGGCTGACTTTGTGCCCCCTTACGTACCCAGAGACGAAGAGAGGTCGGTTGTGAAGCTTGGATCCTAGCAACAAGTCTTCGTCGGCGAAGTGGATTGTGTCCTCGGCGGCACAGCATGTGGCACACTCGTGTGGCCGAGGCCTCAAGCCTTCGTTCTTGCTTTCCTGCACCTCGTGGTCGTCTGGACTCGCTAAAACTGTTATCAATGCCCTTCGTATCTTCTTTGGCAATTGTAGCGCTTCCTCGATGCTAAAGTGTATCGGTAGACCTTCTTCAGGTGTCAGAGTATTTTCTCCCTCAACAGCGGCAATTTTGCCCTTTGAGGGTTCTTCCATTTCTACTTCGACCATGTGACATGCGGTGATAGTGCAATGTTGGAAGAAGTCTTCCGGGAAGTACTCGTGCAAGGAGACGGGAATGCGTGGCTTTTGCTCCGCCGGTTCCCCAGCATATATTGGCTTAGCAGCTCTTATGTTCCTTTTAGGCTTCCTATTGCCGCAACGGCGGTGCTTTCTCCCATGTTCCCCCTTTGGCTTTATAGCTTGCGGTTTCGGTTTCCTCGTCCTCTTATAGGTCACCAATGTCCATCCTTTGTCATCGTCAGTAGGTGCGTCCTGGTTGCTTGCCCCCAGTGACGGTGGTGCAGAATGTGCAGTGTGGTTTGAGAATTGCCGAGCATGGTCAGGCATTTCTTGAAGAAGCACGGGATTAAAGGATCCGAACACGACCATAGTGGCGTGCGTCGCAGCTGTGTCTTCTAGGTCGAGCTCAATCCGTCCTTGTTGTGCCAACTTCATGATGAGTTCTTTTAGGATGAAACACTTGCCCACATGATGACCCATGATACGATGGTACTTGCAGTACTTGGGATCATTGACGTGATTCATTTCTTCAGGGCGTTTGCATTCGGGTAACTCAATCGCCTTCTTCTCCAGCAGGTCGTCCAGCATTGCGTCCATGTCGGAGTCCGGAAAAGGGTATACCTTCTGCTCCAATTCCCTCAAGGTGTTTTTGTACCTATCTTGGGTGTGGGAAGGCTCATTTTTTTTATCTCCCTTGCTTTATTGAAAGAGATTTTGACGGGCGCGGACGAAGTCTTGATAGGGGCGGTATTGGTGGTAAAAGCTTCATTGGCGGGCTTTTTCCCATGATTGTCTGCTCTTGAAGTAAACACCTTATCCCTTTTGAAATCGGTGATTGGCTCCTTCTTTCCATGGTGGGCGATGCTCAACTCCATGTCGTGGGCACGGGTGGCTTATTCTTCAAAAGTTCATGGTTTGATACCTTGAAGGATGTATTGTAAACCCCATTGCATGCCCTGGATGCACATCTCGATTGAAGAAATCTCGGAGAGTCTGTCCTTACAGTCGAGGCTTAGATTACGCCATCGGTTGATGTAGTCCATGACTGGTTCTTCCTTCCATTGCTTCGTGCTCGTCAGCTCTAGCATGCTCACAGTGCGGTGGGTACTGTAGAAGCGGTTGAGGAATTCCCTTTCCAACTGTTCCTAATTGTTGATGGACTCGGGCTCTAAGTCCGTGTACCACTCAAATGCATTTCCTTTTAACGAGCACACAAACTGCTTAGCGAGGTAATCTCCCTCCGTCCCTGCATTGTTGCAGGTTTCAACGAAATGTGCAACATGTTGCTTCGGGTTTTCCTTTCCGTCAAATTGCATAAACTTCGGCGGTTGATAGCCCCTCGGCATCCTTAAGGCGTCGATCTTCCTGGAGTAAGGCTTTGAGTACAACGTGGAGGCATGGGAGCTCCCTTCGTACTGTGCCTTGATGGTGTTGGTGATCATCTCCTGCAGCTGCTGGATAGAGAGAGATCCCATGAGCGCCGCTGCTTGGTCTGGTTTCGGCTTCCCATCGATTTTCTTCACCGGGGGTTCTTCGTCTCCGCCAGCTCCTCCCTTTAGTGGATCATCCTCTGGGTCGGGTTTCTCGCTGTTCTGCGCCTCCAGTCGGTTGACTAACGCTGCGATCTGCAAGTCTTTTTCTTCCACAGTTCGAGTTAGTCTTGCGATTGCTTCATTCATTTGAGCAAGCTGTTCATCGATTGAAGTTGCTCCAGTGGTCATGACTTGCATGGCTGAACTGCTGCTTGAATCGTCATCGGAGAGCATGTATTCGGGGTATTCCCTTGGTCTTTCCCCCCTTGGTGCCCTTAGTGAGGCTAAGGCGATCACAGGCTCGTGCCTTGGGTACTCTCGTTCCTTTGGCAGAGTTGATGCAGAGGTGAAAGAGGTGGCAGAAGTAGCTTTTGCTTTGCTTCGAGTCGTGATGCCCAAAGTGACACCACTTGCGACGAGGGCGCTTTTGTTCTTTGCGCCGGTTATGGGAACAGCTTGAGCCTTCCTTGATGTCATTGATTTTGGAAGTGTGCTTATATTTCTTGAATGGAGGAAGAGATGAGAGGTAGAGACAGTCCCACTGGGCGTGCCAATTTGTGAACACGGAAAATTCCTGAAACGAAAGAGACAAAAACAAAGTGCACAAACAAATATTTGTATTTGATGATTTTGGGTTACAATCTCTCTTAAATTTGATCCTCTGATTCGATCTCCGTAAGGTGAGTATTTGTGGATATGTGATTGATCCAAAGGGCCATTGGGCTTTATCTAAGGATGAACGTTCTTCAAGGGGCGTGGACTTGATCTTGAAGGTGGATTTGAGCGGATCTTAAAAGGGGCTTTTGGGCTTGACCCTTGAAGAACAGTGATGAACGGATCTCCAAGGGCTTTTGGGCTTGATCTCGAAGAACAGTGATGAACGGATCTTCAAGGGCTTTTGGGCTTGATCTTGAAGAACGGTTGGATGTGTGGATTTGTCGACGTTGTTGATCCAAATGGCCGTTGGGGCTTGCTCTTGGACGAACGGATGATGAACGATGGTGCTTTCTTCAAGGGCCGTCGGGGGCTTGATCTTGAATTGGTGGATGGTTGATCCAAGGGCCGTCGGGGCTTGATCTTGGAAGAACGATGAACGAAGAACACTTTCTTCAAGGGTCGTCGGGGCTTGATCTTGGAAGAACGATGAACGAAGAACGAAGAAGGCTTTCTTGATTCTTCGGGAACCTGGATGCTTGAGAGCTTCGGGGTTTCAGAGCTTCAGAGCTTCAGAGCTTCAAGGTGTAATATGAATTGGTCCCTTTAAATGAATGAATTAGCCTTCTATTTATAGAATTTTCCAAGGCCTAATTTTGAATATAATATTCCAGATGAAATAAGTCGTTTCTGCTAGGTGTTGACACGTGTCCTGTTTGATGACTTTTCCAACTTATTTCGATTTTTTGTTTAGACACACGCTACGTGTAAAATTTATGTAATACATGAGCGTTGAAACTTTGATTTATCGGTCAACATTTATTTACCGAAATTTCGATGTCTACAAAATGTACCCATGTTTTAGTACAATAATTTTTGGGTTAGTTTTGATGAACATACCCATATATATATACACACACAATATATTGGAAAGTATAATTCATCTTTAATATTTTTAATCCCATAATTATGGGTTTTATTTAAAATCTCATTAATATAAATAACTACAAATTTCTTTTTTAATTTAAAAATATAATAACCTACATAGAAATACATTATTACATTAATGTCAGGGATTTCGATCAAAAACTAAAAATCACAAAGGTTTTAGTCAAAGAACATTGGTAGTTAAGGACGGCATCCAAAGTGTCCCTTAAAAATAATAAATTGGGGTTTCATGTATTATGGGAATGTTTTCATGCAAGTTAGGCGTATAAAATATCAAGCTTGTGTTTTAGGAGTACCTGATTAGTAGAAAACGAAATAAAATCTTTGAATTTGTAGAAGATTTTTCTTGGAGATATGGTAGAATCTCATCAGGATTTTTTAGGATTTACACAATCACTTTTCTAACTTAATTAAGATTGCAACAATATGAATATATTTTATTTTTCGTAGACGACGTGGAACAATAGTAATTTTGCACATGGTAAGAGGCATTTTCCAAATTTTAATCTAAATTTGTAACCCCGTGTCAATTTACTTTCCAAATTGTTATTGTAGTCAATTATCCTTAGCCGATAACCAATTCACTTTCCGATTTTTAAGACTTTTCACTAGAAGAAAAATGGCCTTTGGGCATAAAATTGGGGACACAAAAAAGGTGTTTGTGTCTGTTTAAACACTAATAGGGTGGAACAATGCTCATTTCGTAATGGGCACCATGAATTGTGCGCAATGTTAAGAAAAGTGAACACAAACACATTATTGGATACAGAGCTATGACTTTGGTGCCTTTAATGTCAGCAATGGAAATTTTTTATTAATTTGCAATGACACCATAAATGTTATTGTGTCCTATAATTTAATATATTTAAAGTAAAAGCAGATTTTTGTGCCCTTTGTTTAAAATAATGTTTTAAAGGTGGATGCATCAATTAACTCTGTGCTCTCTCTTTCACACTCATCATCAAACTGACTCTCTAACCTCTCGGATCGCTCTGCACTCTCTCATCTCCTCCTTTGCTATGTCAACAGCCTCGGACTCAACACTCTCTCTAATCCCTCGAATCGTCTCTGCACTCTATGCTCTACTTCTCCTCCTTGTCCTCCTCAACCATCTTCCTCCCTCTCATATACTTAACTCTTCCTCTTCACTTTCACGCAACAGCGCCGCCATCCACCAGTCACCAACGACCGCCAAATTAAACTTCTAGAATCCTTTTTCTGTCCTCTTTCCAACCCCCAAATTAGTTTCTACAAATTCGTAACCGAATTTCCTCAATTTCAGATCTAAGAAACGGTGACCATTGGTTTTCTGGCCAAGCCTGTCGGAATTGGACCTCGACCCAAGAGATCAGTGAACAACTTCTGGGTGTCCACAGAGTGTTGTGGCAATTTTTTTGGTGCGTGCAGTTTTGTTCCTGCCATATAGGTAACGTCATTCCTTTCTTGATTAGAATTATTAACTAATATTGGTATTCATGAGTGATAGCTATTCTTTGTTTCAGATGGGTAATCTTGGTTGAGAAATTTGTTCTAATCAGCCGCAAAATATGGTCGAAAGTTTGTTGCCCTTGAAGTTCATGACTTGGAATCGTCGGGGTTGTTCCCGGCTAGGATATTTTTTCAAGCTTCCTTATTAGATCGAATAAATTATCTTGATATTTTCTGTTGTATCTCGAATAAATTTATCATTTGCTGTTGCATCTCATGGTCAGTGTGGGGGTTACCTGTTATTAAGGAACTCTATTTCGGTTAATTTTAAGAATACTAAAGTTCGGATATGTTTTTGGATGAAATGTGACCTTTCTTTTTGATATTGGAGGGGTGTTGCATAAAATTTGATACCTGCAAAGCTGCACACAAGTCAATAACATGAAATATGGAGGGTGTGTAAATCCATCCGTCTCAGAGGTTTTGAGTTTCATATGTATAGTCAATTATCGTACGTTCAAAGTTTGTTATTGACCAAAAGAAAGATGATGGGAAGCCAAGGGTTATGGCTACTCTGAATAATAATAATAAAATCTAATCTTTGTAACCAGAAAACTTAATCTAATTATTTGTTCTGGGAATGTCATGGATAATTATATTCTAGTAATGAGGTACATGACTTCTTTGTGAAAGCTCATGTTTTGTGTTCAGTTCATCATCTTGTGTTTTGGAAAAGAACAGATCAAATAGTGTAGAAAGTCTCAGTTTGGTTGCTTAGTTCAAATTACTTTAAGAAATTTGGGTTTGAGCGGACATTTGTTTGTGGTAATTGTTATCCAGCTTTCTTGTTCAGATGCAATTGCGTTCTAGTCATGTGCAAAAGAAAAATGTACCTCATTAGCAAAATGCTTTTCGAAATTAAAATAAACATCCAGTGCTGACTTGTTCTCTGCATGTTGCTTCGTGTGCAGAGAACACGAAGTATATGGAAGAGTGGCTCTCTTCTCTGAGGAGCAGCTGACACCGGATGAAATGGATACTGGCCTAGTTTGATGTAATTACTTACTAGTAGTACGGGACTGGCTAATATAACTTTGAGTAGCAGAGATGGGAGTATTATAGAGGATTCTAGTGCCACTATTGCTGGAAGGTGGTTTGTTTTCTTGCTGCCTTTGCCTTGGGATTGACTTGGAAGGAGGCTGCTGCTACTGTCTTACTTGCAATTCAAAATTATGGTACTAGATCTCTTTAAGGGAATTAGATCTCTCATATCTCAAAATGGCGCGTGTGTGTATAAATATATACACATATATATATATATATATATATATATATATATATATATATTTATTTAACATGTATATCTACATAGTTCATGCCTATTTTGGTTTAAAAGTAGAATTGGCTATATGATGTTTACCATATACTACTGAATATCATGCAAAACCCATTTTTGGATTGAGGTGTTGGTCGTTAGTCTTATACTCTTTGAAATACTGTTTACAAATTCTTTTTAAGAAAACGTACAATTGCCAAATTACTCCACATGTATATAAAGGATGGAATTGGTCTTTTAGTATTATGTGTACTCATGCCTTTTAGTGATGGTTTGTACTTGTGATTAGGTTAATTGCGTGGAGTATCTGGGGACTGGGGCGTGACAATAGATGCCAAATGGTATTGTATCTCATTTTGGAGTTTGGTGTTGTGAACCCTTTTGTACATACAAGTTTAAAATATATATGCATATATGTTTATATGCACGTGGCATGAGGTCATTGATTTTTTGGGTGCAATACATCTTAATTCTAAGAAGAGGAGATTTGACTTTGTAAGTGCAGGTATCAGATTGCTCTACTCTCTTAGTGTAAGTACATCTCTGCATATCTTTATTTCCTCAATTATATTTGACTTTGTTATGTTGAGTTGCCAAATTAAAGATATTGCACTACTTTTTCGATACTACATTAAATATGGAACATGCGAAACATTAAATTTTGAGTGTTAATCATTGAACAGAGGCTGCATTTTAAATTTGTAAACATCCACTGTAATGGTTTAGGGCTTGATAGTTGTACCAAATCTCTTTTTCTTATTCCCATGTGCATGTCCATGTGTAGATCTTTTTGTGGCTTTCTAAGTTTGGGTTTTTCTTGATGTGTGCTTATGTGGTTTGGGATTACTTTCCTTTGCAGGCCTGGGTATTATATGAAGCTTTGCGCTTTCAGATTAAGGTAAAGTTTGATTATATCTTATAGTTAATTTTGATGCCCATCACAAGGTGCATAATTTTTTTCCATTACACTTATGTGTTCTATCAATTAAACTGCAGACCAACTACTAATCTCCTAAGTTCTTTAAATTCGGGTTTGTTATATGTTGTAGGAAATGGCATATTTTTTCTTTACATTTGGAAGAGTGAGAATTATATTGTTGGGACTTTGGATTCTATTTTTATGTCCTAATTTGTGTGAGGATTGCTTGCCATCCATATAAGAATGTTACTAAAGTGTCAAGCAAAAGTCTTTATGTTTCAATCACAAACAAGTGCATGTATACATAGCAGAATTACACCAATTAATCTGTGGGAGGAAGGATATATAACAGCTCGTGAGATAAAGATAATCATAATTTGAAAATTTGGAAGCCACTACATACTCATTTCTTGTTGCTCTGTGTAAATTTTGAAGGGTCCGACACTGGCACTCAAGCAGCATTTTGGAAAGAAAATTTTGGAACTAGGAGATGAGAAAAGAACTGTGCAGGTTCACTTACAACCTTTATAATTTTTGTTTTATTTTAGTTGGGGATAGAACATGTAAAATTATAGTTGTTTTTACATATAATGGTTGTGAATATCCTTGTAAATTGTAATATTATAGATGCTTGTGGTTGTAGGCTGTTTTAATTTTATGAAAAAATTATTTTTTGTTTAGCCTCAATCTCAATTTTTAGGTGATTTCGGTTTTTATTTTTATTTTTTAAATAGGTGACATATTGGGCACAATAACAATAAATGTGCTAACATGGGTGGCAGACAACTTTGTTAGAACTGGGCACAAAAGAACCTTTATTTGTTCTTACACCTCAGCACAGCATACCTAATTGTGCTCTTTGATCAAAGGTGACGCCCATAGAGGGCACAGATAGAAACTTAGTTGCTGCATTGTTGCTATTGGTCTATGAGCACATATGTTGGTGCTCTTTGGCCTCAGAGGGCACATATAATTTATTGTGTGCAGTGCCCATATTTGTTGTAGTGTTTCATCCGTTTTTCGTTAAAATGCATCACGTGCCAAATACATGTTCCTCTCTCGATTTAGTTCCAAACAAATTCGATAAACTGGAGAAGAAAACAACTTGAGGCCATCGCCGCTTACCCGGTGGGTCATCAGCAAGGACCTGGTTTGAAGGTAACAAAGCCAAAAGACAAAACTTTAATAACTGGGGAGGAAAGGCAGTGAAAAATGAAAGGGGTAAAATATGAGGTGCAACTTGATTAGCCTTTGATGTTGAAGGTATGGTACCGTACCTTAACTTATTCTCTGTCTATCTGGGTCCCTTTTTTATTTTTTATTTTTATTTATTTTTCTTTTCGTATCCTTTTGCTTTGCGACAAGAATGGATTTCGTTTCTACCTCTTATAGAGTTTTATTTTCTTAAGGTTTTCATTTGATGACCTATGAGGACTAAATCCATATTATCTAAAATAATCTATTAATTTAGATTTAAAGGCTTAAAATATTTGATAGCATAATAAAGCAAAACAAGAAAATAAATGTTCTAATAATTCATGACTTTTAAGTTGGTGCTTTATCTGACACACCCCGATCCGGAGGATCCAGGTGTGCTGGCCGTCACGTGGGCGTGACGTAACCATAGGCGCGACACGGAAGCGAAATAACAACATAAATCAGCAGAAATTCAAACCAAACTCAACATAACCACCTACGAACATAACCGGACGAGTTATAAAGTAAACACATAAGTTCAGAGCAGAGGTTTAAGTGTAGTCAAGTAGGACTAAAATAAAATACATCACCCTCAGGTGAGTCCTACATGTCGAAAGTCTGTCAGAAAGCCGGAAAAGACCTCGAGAGCCACCAACCGCTAAATTAGAACCTGGAGGGGCGCAAAACAAAATGAGTGGGTCAGTAAAACCAAAGATTTTTCCAAAACATTTCATTTAAAACATTTCTAACCCCTCACCGTAAAACCTGTATACTTTCCCAGAAAAATATATATATATATAAATACAACTATATGAAATCTCAAAACTTGAATCCCAAATCTTCAACATTTTTCAAGAAAAACATGCCATGCCATAAATCAAATATAAATCAGGTGAAATAAAGAATCAATCGGAGACCCTGCAGTTGGTCCTATACGATTAATTCAACAGCTCAATATCCCACTAAGCCGGAGTCACCACCGTGACCTGTACGGCCCTACTCTGCACATCACTCGGAACTACGTAAGGTAGTCTATACGATGAAAGGTGTAAAAATACGCTCTAGTGCTTCTCTCATCATATCATCAGCGCGCATAACTAAGGTCACCCACTAGTCGGAATCACGCCTAGTGATCTGTACGACTAGCATGTCGGAACCCTCACATGGTCTGTACGACATCCACCTACTTGGATCCAAGACGAGCGTGCGGTGTGGTGAATAATACAAGCACTAACACCTAGGATGCAGGTTATGAGCTCAAAACATCTCAACAACAACCAATTCAATGAATAAATGAACTCACCTGACTTACCTGTGCCTCCACTGCACCATGCAACATGTATGCATCATATATCAATCATATAACTCATATGAAGTTCACATTTTTCAAATAATTCTATGCATGGCATTTTCTAAAACATATTTTCACATAAAATCATTTTCTGGGAAAAATCGATAGTATAAAGGTAATACGAAAATAAAACTGCCCACTCACTGGTAAGTCGACGGGTCGTAACCCCCGTGGCGTCCCTGGATGCGGTCGTCCTCGGGATACGTCTCACCTATATGCGAAACAACTATAAAAACGTTAATTTTAAACACATCACCAATATTTCGAAATAACTTCTCATACGATGTTCAATTTGGGTATATGAATATACCACATCGACCTACTCGACGTCACGAGCGTCGGGAAATTTTTAGAAAAAAATTTGGAGGGCTCACGCGCCGCACGTGGCACGGGCCTACGCGCCCCCCACGCGCCCTTCTTCTTCCTTGGGTCGCCGGACTGGTTTTTCCGGCGACCGGATTCCGGCCAATTTTAAAACCTCTTGTTCTCCTTCGTTTTTCACCCATTTTCTTCGTATTTTATATCAAATTGAAGCCCCAAACATGTAGAATCACGTTGGACTAGTTTTAGGGTCTAAAAATCAAGAAATCTCACCGAGCAAAATCCAAAGATTCGGCCAACTTCGAAACCCACGATCCTGACGTCCAAATCCTTCAAACGAACGTCCCCGAGCTTCCTTAGGACCTCACTAAGCTTGCTATAAGCTTGAATTTCCCTGAAACACAACATTTTACGTTCGCATGAACAGTACCCAAGAATGGAGGTTCGGATCCCACGTGAAATCGAAGGTTTCACTTCTTAAAACTAGCACTAATGAACTCAGGACGTCAAAAGGATGAAGATACATACCTTATTTGCCTCGATCCGTCAAGTTTTGAAGGGTTTTAGTTGTGGTCCGTACATATTTGGGTGTGTGTGTGTGTGCGAGGTCGAGAGGGAGAGAGAGACAGAAAGTGCTACGGGAGAGAGAGGGAGAGAGAGGTCCCTTTCTGTGTGGTCCACCTTAATCCACACCAACCATAAATCATCCTAACCAGTTTAACAAGAAAAATCAATCTTTTAAACCAACTTAATTATATAATTATCCCTTCCAAACTTAACCAATATTGAACCATAATAATGCCACATACATACGTACCTTAGTACTCATCAAGGGTAATATAGTCATTCCACATTCCCGTCAAAAGCACCTCCGGGACGGGCTGTGACAATCTTCCCTCCTTATAGAATTTCGTCCCCGAAATTCCCATAACCAATTAAACCATTTAATACCCATAAAACAACCTTGGGTACAGCTCTTTCATCCGATCTTCCGTCTCCCAGGTAGCTTCCTCCATAGAATGGTTCCTCCACAACACCTTCACCAAACTCACCGTCTTGTTCCTTAGAACCTTATCCTTCCAATCCAATATTGTGATTGGTTCCTCATCATAAGTCAAATCCGGATTAATCTCTAGCGGTTGAGAAGGAATCACATGGGAAGGATCAGAAATATAATGTTGAATCATAGAGACGTGAAACACATTATGGACCTTAGATAACTCCGGAGGCAGCTCCAACCGGTAGGCAACTTCACCAACTCTTTCGGTGATCACATAAGGTCCAATGTATCTCGGACTTAGCTTCCCTCTTTTTCCAAATCATACCACACCTCTCCAAGGTGACAATTTCAAAAACACCCAATCCCCCACATCATATACTCGATCAGTAGTATGCCGATCCGCTAAACTCTTCTGTCGATCCTGGGCTGCTTTCAGGTTTGACTTAATTACCTGAACATTTTGAGTAGTCTCCTCTACAATCTCTGGGCCTACTAATACCCTTTCACCAACCTCATACCAACATAATGGCGTTCGACACGCCCTACCATAAAGTGCCACAAATGGGGACATGCCAATGCTCGAGTGAAAACTATTATTATAATCAAACTCCATCAAGTCTAGACGATCATGCCAGGAATCACCAAATTGTAACACTGAAGATCTCAACATATCTTCCAACGTCTGAATGGTCCTCTCTGATTGCCCATCACTTTGAGGATGATAAGTTGTGCTATACAGTAATTGTGCACCCAGAGCTTCCTGAAAAGCCACCCAGAATTTAGAAGTAAATCTTGGGTCTCGGTCAGAGATAATATTGACTGGAACTCCATGATACTTTACAATCTTTGAAATAAACAACTTAGCCAATTTATTCAGAGGGTACTTCTCCCTAACTGGAATGAAATGCGCTGATTTGGTAAGTCGATCTACAATCACCCAAATACCATCAAATCCATTTCGTGTACGAGGAAGTTTATACACGAAATCCATGGTTATATTTTCCCGTTTCCACTGGGGAACGGGAAGTGGCTGCATTCGCCCAAATGGCTTCTTTCTTTCTGCCTTCACTTGCTGGCAAATAATACATCTACTCACATATTCTGCAATTTCTCTTTTCATACCCGGCCAATAATAAAATGGTCGAATGGTATGATACATTTTAGTTCCTCCTGGGTGCATCGCATAAGCTGAACAATGCGCTTCATCCAGAATTTCCTTCTTCAATTCTTCATTATTCGAAACATACATTCTGTTTTCTTGCATGAGCATACCATCTGATTCCCGAATTCTGAGATCTTTCCTTTTCCCCTCACTTCTTAACTGAACCAACTCCTGAATCTCCTCATCCACCATCTGAGTTGCGAGTATACGGTCCACCAAAACTGGCCTGACTTGAAACTAGCAAGAAAAGCTCCACTTGGGTTTTCAAATTCCAACCTTACTCCCGTTGTCCTCAATTCAGCAAGAAGAGGAATACGACTAGTATATAAGGCATTAAGCCTGCCTTGAGGTTTCCTACTCAGAGCATCCGCTACCACATTAGCACGACCTGGATGATATTCAATAGTACAATCATAATCACTTAGCAATTCCATCCACCTTCACTGACGAAGATTAAGATCATGCTGAGTAAACAAATACTGAAGACTCTTGTGATCAGTGAAGATCTTACACTTCTCACCATACAAATAATGCCTCCAAATCTTAAAGCAAAAACAATTGCTGCCAATTCAAGGTCGTGAGTAGGATAGTTCCTTTCATGATTTTTCAACTGCTTAGAAGCATAAGCAATCACCTTATTATGCTGCAT